TAGGTTTTCCTGGTGGAACAATAAAGTTTATTATCATTATTATTTTTTTCAGTGCGTTAGATTCAAACATTTTATTAACGAACACATTCAGTTACAATATATTCACCTGATAGCGATACTAATTAAGTAGCTTTCATTTCACTAGATGCTTGTGTTCTTCTTTAAGAGCAATCTTATGGTTTTTATTAGTACTTCGATTCTTTTACCGCATATATGCTTTCTTTCCTGCTTTTTTTGTTCCGTTCTTCGTTCGGATATACTGAAAGTTTCAAAGATTTCAATTACTTTTTCCGCTTTTAATTCAATGCTAATAATTCAATGCCGATTTAATTGCAAAATCTTTAAGTATTATATTATTATTATTGTCGGTGTATCTTGTGAGAACTCAGGTCTAGCCTGGTTAACTAATCGCACGGATTAAAATCAAGTAACGATTAGTGTCTGTGTCTGTGTCTGGTGAAGTTATGTAGGGTCCTAAAAAAAATAAAATAAATATAATAAAAATAAAAATTCACACACTCACATTGGAAATCTAGAGATAGTATGTAATTCATACTTACCAACATAGCTATTAATGGCCACAATAGTCAACGCTATCAGAAAAGATTATTATTATTGTCTGTGTTTCTTGTGAGAACTCAGGTCTAGCCTGGTTAACTAATCGCACGGATTAAAATCAAGTAACGATTAGTGTCTGTGTCTGTGTCTGGTGAAGTTATGTAGGGTTCTAAAGAAAAATAAAAAAATAAAAAATAAAATAAATATTCGCACACTCACATTGGAAATCTAGGGATAGTATATGTAATTCATACTTACCAACATAGCTATTAATGGCCACAATAGTCAACGCTATCAGGAAAGAAGAAAACAAAACAGTAATATCATTATAATAATTCCTGTACTTTTATTAAATAGAGTTTATTGTGTAAGTGTTTCTTTGGCTTTGCTTTTGGGTTGTATACGAGTGGGTGTTTTTTTTTTTTTTTTTTTTTTTTTTTTTTGTCAGGTGGGGAAATGCATTATGCACACTCCGGATGGAAAAGTCCGGAGTAGTGTGGGACTCTCACCCACTAAAACCCCACCTGAGGCTTCGGCTTCTAGGGCCATTCGCCTTTATACATACTTTTACACAGAAAAAGATGACTATATAAGTACAATGGGACAGAAACGGATCTAGTTACATTTATTAACATACAAAACCAACAATTTAAAAATATCACAGATCATTTGCTATACCAATTCTTTGGATGAAGGCAAGAGTATTTTTACATTGCTCTTTGTTTTTAAAGTTATTTTCCCATGCAGGGTCGATATTAAAGAGCACACGTACATCTGTGTACTGCGGACAGACAGAAATAATATGATGTGGTGTTAAAATAACACCACATTGTTCGCATAGTGGCCGTTCTTCGCCCGCCAACAAATATCCATGAGTGAGGGCAGTATGCCCCAGCCGGAGTCTGTACAGCCTGATCAAGTTCAAACGCCCAACGTCGATATAAAATAGCGGATCCAGACTCTGTTTGATCCTCTTCAAAGCCGTATCAGTCTCCGACCACTGTTCACTCCACCGCTCATAAATTTTCGTCTTCACAAGTTCACGTCGTGCAATAGGTGACATATTCGTGAAGTCAACGTTATCCAGTTGGAGGTAGTTTAATACCTCTCTAGCTCTAACACCTAACGATCTACATCTATTTAGCCGAGCAATTGTAGTTGCATCAGTAAGTGATATAAAATTTGGATGTTTATCATCTATCCTTACTTTTATATAATAGTTTGCAACAATCTGTTTCCGGCGTAGAGCTAGAGGGGGAATATTTGCCTCGACGTGGAGCGATGTTACCGGACTTGTTGGATATGCTCCCAAAGAGTAGCGAATGGCCAGGTTCTGAATCTTGTCAAGTTTCTCAAGCAAAGTATTACTGCCACATGTAGAGTACGCTGCACATCCATAATCCATCCTTGACAGGATGAGGGCCTTATAAATATCTAGGAGGGTCTTAGGGTGAGCTCCCCACCTATGATGAGCTAGAACTCGCATAATGTTCAGCGATTTTCTACATGTAGCCGCAACATTCTCCAAATGCTTTGACCATCGTAATTCCCTATCAAAGGTAAGTCCGAGGAACTTGACTTCTTGGACAACACTGATTATACGATTGTTCATAAACAAAACGGGGTCATAGTGGGGCTTACGGAGTCGACAAAAGTGAACAACCTTTGTCTTCTCCTCCGACAGCACGTACCCGACAGCATTGGCGTTATGACAAATGATGTTAATTGCCGTTTGTAGGTTTCGAGTTATTGTGCCAACCTTCTTACCAGAACAACAAACCATTAAATCGTCTACGTATAAGCATTTATCAATTGACTCCTCAACACCTTTGGCTATTTCATTTATGGCGATGCCGAACAGGGAACAACTGAGTGTTGACCCCTGCGGCACACCATTTTCTAAAACATACTCTTTGGAGTTGATATCGCCGATTCTTACACAGAACTTCCTATCCTCTAAAAAGGATTTTATAAATTTAGGTAAATTCCCTCGAAGATTGTTTTTATACATATTTTGCAATATTCCATATCTCCAAGTCATGTCATAAGCACCTTTTATATCGAAGAAGACCGCAACCAGATGTTCACCACTGTCAAATGCTCAGAATTCTGTCTGTCAGTTTGACCAGATGGTCTACCGTTGACCGTCCTTTCCGAAAACCAGTTTGGTAAGGCACGTATACGTTATTGCTTTCGAGAAATGTTTGTAGCCGCACATTAACCATTTTTTCTAGCAGTTTTCCCAAGCAAGATGTCAAACTAATTGGGCGATAACTTTGTGCCTGCAACGGATCTTTTCCTGGTTTCGGTATAGGAATTACGATGGCTTGCTTCCATTCTGAGGGGTAAGTAGAATCATTCCAGCAGTTGTTGAAAAATCTTAAGATGGTATTTTTCATTTCAGAACTACAGTGGCGAAGCATCTGGTTATGGATAGCGTCTTCTCCCGGTGAACATGACTTGGTGTTACGGATTGCTGCCTCCAATTCTTCTACAGTAAAAGGTACGTTGCAGTTCTGTATATCATCTGTGTTAAAGTCAATTAATACTGCTTCTTTTTCAGGTTTGGTATCTAGAAAGGTGTTGGAATAGTTTGACGAGCTACTGACTTTATAGAACTGATCTGCAACTATGTTAGTTATGTCTTGCAGTTTATTGGTAATTATTCCATCGGAATTGCGCAAAAACACCGGATAACTGCAGCTGTTTTTTCCAGATATAGCTCCGACTTTCTTCCAGACATCATTACTGGTAGTCTCTGGTGTCATGGTTGTTACATAATGTTGCCATGAAATTCTTTGGGCTTCTAGTATTCCCCTACGACACTGAGATCTTCGTTTTTTGAACTCTACAAGATTCTCCAACGTAGGATTTCGACGAAATTTATTTAGAGCTTTTTTCTTTAATGCTATTTTTTCTTTGATTTCAGGTGACCACCACGGGACCATCTTTCGCCTATTGCCAGGTTTAGATCTAGGTATGCTGGCGTCAGCAGCGTTTATGATGGAAGAGGTAATGGTTTTAACATTTAGATTGTCTTGATTAGGAGGGACGAGGACTTGTGTGAAGAGTTCCCAATTTGCTACTTGGATTTTATATTTAGCTATCGTTTTTATTGGAAGATTGTGACCCCTGACTGTGATAATAATGGGAAAATGGTCACTATGATGTAGATCATCTTCCACCTCCCATTTCAGGCTAGTATGTATACCTGGTGAACATACTGATACATCGATGGAGTCAAATGTGCCTGATCCTGCATTGAAAAATGTAGCGGAGCCATCATTTAGTAAGCTTAAGTTACTATTTTCAATCAGGTCCAACAATTCTTTCCCTCTAGCATCATTTGATCTGGAGCCCCAAACGGTGTTGTGGGAATTAAAATCCCCAACAAGAATAAATGGTGGTGGAAGCTGCCCAATAATTTTTCGAATTTCTTCGACATCATAATTTGTATTGGGAGTGTAAATATTACAAAGTGTACACGATCTACTAATTTCAAGTTTAACGGCTACAGCCTGGTAAGTTGTATGTAATTTAACTTGTTTATAAGGTGTTCCTTTGTGAATGAGAAATGCTACTCCTCCACAGGCTCTTGCAGGTGAGTAGAAATCCTTTCTAATTAAACTGAAATTTTTAACATTGTACTTTGTTCCAGGTTTTAAATGTGTTTCCTGAATGGCAACACACAATGGTGTGTGCCTTTGTATAAGTAGTTTTAGTTCATTTAAGTTGTTGGATAGTCCTCTACAATTCCATTGTATAATTTTTGTACCCCTTTCGAAGATTTTTGTATAAAAAGACAATCACGGTGAAATAAAATAACATAATTAAATAACAAATAACAATGTATATGGGACTATTACAAATAAAATGAACAGGTAACTAGAATATCACAGATTGTATCACAAATTAATTGGTACAAGACCCTCTTGGCCCCGAATTGCGGGGTTTCCTGGGTTTGCCTTTCGGCCACCCTTTCCTCTTCCTCTGTTGCTTTGCCTCAGTAACTTTATCATCATCTACAGATGTGACACTCGATTATTATTATTATTATTATTATTTTTTTTTTTTTTTTTTTTTTTTTGAGGGCATTAACTGCTATGGTCATATTACCCCAATTAGGGCGCCCCCAAATCTCTCACTACACTTTAGATCTGTCTGTATATACCTATTTCTCTTAGAAAACTTAGGGTTCTTTTTGCATTTATCGTTGCACAGAAGTTTTCGACATATTCTCGATTTAAACTATGCAGCGCCCTTTCGTTGTTATACATGGGGCATTCCTGAATTATGTGCCTAATGGTTACAGCAGTCCCACATCGTTCGCACTGTCGGGCAATCTCACCCTTAAGAATGTGTTGGTGCGTTATCTGCGCATGCCCTATTCGCAGTCGGTGCATTTTTACATTTTCTTCCCTATTGGCCTGGTCTAACACAGAGTTTCCGTACATCTGGTTTTATTCGGGTCAGGTGAGTGTTACTTTCAGCCCATTTTTGTTGCCACATTAACCGGTTTTTCTTTTTCAGGTATTCTCCTAAGTCCAACGGATGTATAAGGTTAACATCAATGTGATTACTTAACGCAGCCTGGCATGCAGCATGGTCTGCTTGATCGTTTCCAGGTATACCAATATGACTTGGTACCCATATAATAATAATTATAGCCTCTTTTCCATTTAAGAACTTGAGAATGGACTGGCATCTTTTCGTCATCGCATCAACAGGATATATTTCAGAGATCCCATTCACTGCTTCCATACAATCTGTGACGATGATAAAATTTTTTCTATCGCCGATGGAGCAATATAACAACGCCTGCCACAGCGCATATTGTTCGGCAAAGCGAATTGAGGACCACGAACATAAACTCCATTCATAGGACTCTTCTCCAATCACCATCGCACTTCCAACACCACTCTCCGTTCTAGACCCGTCAGTATAGATGATTTCATACGAAGGATATTCATTACATATATCTTGGAATTTCTGTATGTAAGTGTTACTTTTATTTATTATTTATTATCGGTGTTTCTTGTGAGAACTCAGGTCTAGCCTGGTTAACTAATCGCACGGATTAAAATCAAGTAACGATTAGTGTCTGTGTCTGGTGAAGTTATGTAGGGTCATTAAAAAAAAAAAAAAAAATCACACACGTACATTGGACATCTAGGGATAATGTAATTCGTACTTACCAACATACCTATTGATGGGCACAATAGCCAACGCTATCAGGTAAGAGGAAAACAAAACAAAAAAATCATTATAATAATTCCTGTAATTTTATTAAATGGAGTTTATTGTGTAAGTGTTTCTTTGGCTTTGCGTTTAGGTTGAATACGAGTGGGTTGTGATAACGTGGTGTGCTTCTGTGAAGAAGGAGTTTTGTGTTTTTTAATTGTATTTATGGTGTTTCTTTGTTCCTGAGGTCGTATTTGTGAGGTTGCTTGAGTTTTTGGTGGAGATATTGCAGTATTTTGTGAGCCTGTGTTAAGGTTTTTGCGTTTCGGTTGTATACGAGTGGGTTGTTTCTGAGAAGAAGGAGTATTGTGTTTTTTAACTGTGCTAGAGCGTGTAACTTTATCGGATGGACCTGTCTTTGTAGTACATGTTGCGTTACTTGTGTTTATGGTGTTTCTTTGTTCTTGAGGTTGTATTTGTGAGGTTGCTTGGGTTATTGATGGAGATATTACAGTATTTTGTGAGCTAGTAGTGCTGTATAGGTTTCTGCGTTTGGGTTGAATACGAGTGAGTGGGTTGTGATAACGTGGTGTGCTTCGGTGAAGAAGGAGTTATGTGTTTTTTAATTGTGCTAGGGCGTGTAACTTTATTGGGTGGACCTGTCTTTGTAGTGCATGTTGCGTTACTTGTATTTATGACGTTTCTTTGTTCTTGAGGTTGTATTTGTGAAGTTGCTTGGGTTTTAGGTGGAGATATTTTAGTATGTTGTGAGCCTGTAGTTCTGTTAAGGTTTTTGTGTTTCGGTTGAATACGAGTGGGTTGTGAAAATGTGGTGTGTTTCTGTGAAGAAGGAGTTTTGTGTTTTTTAAATGTGCTAGGGCGTGTAACTTTATTGGATGGACCTGTCTTTGTAGTGCAAGTTGCGTTACTTGTATTTATGGTGTTTCTTTGTTCTTGAAGTTGTATTTCTGTTGTTGCATGGGTTATTGGTGGAGACATTACAGTATTTTGTGAGCCTGTGTTAAGGTTGTTGCGTTTGGGTTGAGTACGAGTGGGTTGTGTTTGTGATAACGTGTGGTGTGTTTCTGAGAAGAAAGAGTATTGTGTTTTTCAGATGTGCTAGGTCGTGTGGGTGAGGGCGTCTTTGTAGTGCGTGTTGCGTTACTTGTATTTATTGCGTTTGTTTGTTCAGGAAGTTGTGTTTGTGTGGTTGGTTGAGTTAAGGTTGGAAATATTACAGTATGTTGTGTGTCATGTTGTGAGTCTAAAGTGCTGTTTAGGCTTTTGCGTTTGGGTTGAATACTAATGGGTGGTGATAATGTGGTTTGCTTCAGAGGTGAATCTCTGATTGTAGTATATGTTTATCATTTGTTGTGCTTGTTTGTTCGGTAAGTTGTATTTGTGTGTTTGTTTGGGTTAGAGGTGGAGATATTACAGTATGTTGTGTACCGTGTTGTGAGGGAGTGCTATTGTTTACATGTATACGTTGTGGATCATTTCTGTATGTAGTATCTTGTGTTATGTTTAGAAATTTACGAACAATATGGCATGTGTTGATAATGACTGCTTTTTGTAAATGTTTGTATGTGTTTTTGTCTAAACCTAATAGTTGTAAATTGTGGTGTTTTGTCTTTGGTATAACTCCAGTAGCACTAAGAATAATGGGAACTATAACAGTAGATTTCATTCTCCATTGCGTCTTAAGCTCGATAGCTATATCGGTGTATTTGCGGTGTTTTTCTGCATGTGTTTTAGTTAAGTTGTTAGTGTTGGGGATGGCAATGTCTATAATACAAATGGATTTTTGTGTTTTATCTATAAGTGTAATGTCTGGTCTATTATTGTGGATAGTTTTATCTGTGAGTAGTGTCCTGTCCCAATATAATTTGTGTGTGTTGTTTTCGAGTATGATCTGTGGCGTGTATTTGTAGTATGGTGTCGTATCTGTTATGAGATTGTGTTTAAGTGCTAATTTTTGATGTATGATTTTAGCTACCTGATCGTGTCGATGTTTGTATTCAGTTTGTGCAAGTCGTGTGCATGCCGATATTATATGTTGGATTGTTTCTGATGTTTGTGAACAGAGTCGACAAGAATCATTTGTCACTGTTTTATCTTTATGTATGTGTTTTTTATAGTTGCGTGTGTTAATGACCTGGTCTTGTATTGCTAACATGAAACCCTCAGTCTCCGGGAAGACATCACATTCAGACAACCAACTGTGCGTTGCTATAGAGTCAACACAATCCTGGCCAACCTCTTGTGGAAATCGTCCATGTAAAGGCTTTTGGTTCCATGTCTGTATGTTATTTGTGATGTATGTAAGTTTGGATGTGGGTGGGAGTACATTAGTTTCGTGTAGGTTAAGTGGTGTGTAAGATTTGTCTGCATATGTTACTGTTTTGTGTAAGACTGAAGTATCTGATTTGTTATAAAAGTATTGTCGTAAATTGTGTATTTGTGTTTGGTGTAATAGTTTTATATCTGTAAGTCCTCTCCTCCTTCCGAACGAGGAAGGTAAAGTCGTATACTGGAGGAGTGAGGGTGATGTATATGGTGTTTTGTTAATAGTGTTCGTGTGTTTCTCTGTATTTGTTCTAAATCTGTATTTGTCCAACGTATAATCCCGAAAGAGTATGTAAGCACTGGTATGGCATAAGTGTTAATAGCTTTGATTGTATTTCTACCGTGTAATTTTGTTTTAAGTATACTGCGTACTCTTTGTAGGTATTGTGTGATAAGTGTTTGTTTTATACTCGTATGTTTAATATGTGTATTTTGCTGAAAACCAAGATACTTATAAGTTTCATTCTCGTCCATGGAATTTATTAAATTACGCTGTTCTAGCTCATAATCTAAAAGTTGTCTTTTACCAGCTGTGATGTGTTGTGTTTTACATTTATCAATTCCAAAGTCCATTTGTATGTCACGTGAGAATGTTTCGGTAATGTGTAGAAGGTGATTAAGTTTTATGCTTGTGGAAGAGTATAATTTAAGATCGTCCATGTAAAACAGGTGTGTAATGTTGTGATGTATTTCGTGGTTGTGTTTAATATTGTACCCAAAGTTAGTAGTGTTTAACAAATGTGAAAGTGGGTTAAGAGCAAGACAAAACCAGAGCGGACTTAAAGAATCGCCTTGAAAAATTCCTCTTTTAATTTGTATTGGGTCAGTAATAAGTTTTGTGTCGTTTAGTGTAAGTGTTAACGTAGTGTTCCAACATGACATTATGTAATTGAGGAATTGTGTAATATTGTTGCTGACTTTGTATATTGAGAGTACTTGTTGTAACCAAGAGTGTGGTACTGAATCGAATGCTTTTTTGTAATCAATGTATGCAGTGTGTATGTTTCGTTTGTTATGTCTGGATTGTTCAAGTATAACAGAGTCTATAATGAGTTGCTCTTTACAGCCTCTGGAATACTTGGTACACCCTTTTTGTTCTTCGTATAGAATGTTGTTATCAGTACAGTGTTGGTATATTTTGTTTGTAATGCATGATGTAAGGATTTTGTATATTGTAGGAAGGCATGTAATTGGTCTATATTTAGATGGGTCTTGTGTATTGTTGTCTTTTGGGAGCATGTAAGTGATACCTTGTGTAAAGAATGCAGGAGTGCGATCTGGTGAATTAAGAAGTTCAGTAAATTGTTGCGCAAGGTAAGAGTGAGTGTAGGTAAAATATTTCCACCAAAAGTTGTGAATGTTATCAATGCCTGGACTTTTCCAGTTATGTAAGTGATTAATAGTTTGAATGATGTCTGTTGTAGTGATGTTTGTGTTATTCATAGGAGTAATGTATTCAGAGCGTGTGGTTTCTGTGGTAATCCACGGGGCGTGTGGATTGTGTTTAATGTCTTTGGTCCATAAGTCAAACCAGTATTGCTGAAGTGAGTGTAGAGATGGTGGAATGAGTTTTTCATTAGTGCTGTTTTGTGTTAGTGATCTGTAAAATAGTTTTTCGTTATGTTTAAATTGTGTGTTATGGCGCTTTCTGTCTGCAGTTTCCCTATAGCGTTTTAAACGGTTTGTGTATATTGATAGTTTTTGTGTGAGTGTATCTCTATGTTCGTTATAGTTTGTATTTTGTTCTCGTGTGGTGTGATTGTTTAGTTTTGTAGTTATGTGTTGTACTTGTCGTGTTAATTTTGAAGAACGAGTTCCTTGTATGTATTGTGTAATTCGACCCAAGTCACGTCTGATGTCATCGATGCGATTAATCAGGCGTTTTTCCCAAGCCGGGGGTGAGCGTTTTTTTGTTGTGTGGTGTTCTTTGTTTGTTGTTATTCTTGAACCGTTACATCTAGAAACTGCAACCGCACCGCAATACACAACAAAGTGTAGTTGATGTAAGCTTGTGTTATCGTTAATGTAATTTGGTAAAATGTGATCATTTAGTGTTTTTGAGAGTGTGCGTAATTTTGTAGTGTGACTTTGTTTAGGTATTCGTGCTCTTTGTGTTGGGTCAGTGTTTGAGAATTCTAACAATGCATTGTCAAATTCTTTTTGAAGGGATGTGAGTGTTTGGTTTATGTGATTATTTGTATCTATCGATTGCTGGGGTGTCGCAAATATCTGTATTTCAGTGTTGTTTAGAACGGGTGTATTATCTTGTACGATGAGTGTGTTGTTTGTGTTGAGTAGTGCTTCAATTTCGTGCCTGATTTGTTCCTGTGTGTCTAATGTAAGGAGTGTATTTTTAATGATAACTCTACGTTGGTCTGCAATGCGTTGTTCTGTCAAGTGTGCTAAATGTGGGTATTGTGTAATGAACGCGTGATATAGTTTACCTCTGTATGCTGTCCTGTC